TTGAATTATTTTCAGTTATGACATTTCAAGGTAATCCTTATTGTTTCCTGAATCTCAAAACAAAACAAAAGGTACTCTGTAATCTTTAATTCCATTTTTGACACTGCATTGTACTTTTGGAGGGAGAAACAGTTAAGAAGTATAAAAAAAAATAATCGATCCACTTATACATTTAACAAAGGTTAGGAATCCAGTGCCACAGGCTGTACTATATTAATCAGTGATCACCAAGCACTCAGGAAGTACGGGGTGGTGTGTGGAGAACAGTAGGGATGGAGATGAAGCCATCTGCAGCAGAGCCAGGTGGACTTGTCACACCACCTCTATCAGAGAAAGGCTGACACGATGGTAGATCATTACATCTCCGTTAGAGGTAAGCCCAGGAGCTGTGGGGCAAGAATTGGCCCTTATGACCCCTGGGGAACCTCAATACCATTTCTAGGGCAGCCAGATGGAAGTTTTTAAGAGGAACCAGAAAAGTGATAAAAACCCAAATAAGAATGTTGTCACCAAAGCAAAGGGAGAAGCGATTGGAGGACAGAGGAGCCAACACTAACACGTGGCTCAGAGGTGTCAAGTCAGAAAGGGTCTGAAAAGTCTAGAATTTCTTGGGATTTGGAAATCAGAAAGTTAGGGCTTGGGGTGTAGCTCAGTGGATAAGTGTGCAGTTGAGCATGGGTGAGGCCCATGGGTTTGATCCCCAGCGCCAGGAAAACCAAACTGCAACAGAGAAGGTTACTTGGGGTCATCGGCAATATCAATGCAGTTGGGGCTGGAAAGACAGAGGCTCTCTAGAGCCAGGCTGAGCAGAAGTACTAAAGGGGGGACAAAGAATGAATGGGACAGGGGCTGGGGTTGTGGCTCAGTGGTAGAGCGCTTGCCTCGCACGTGCGAGGCCCTGGGTTCAAGCCTCAGCACCACATAAAAATAAATAAACAAAATAAAGATATTGTGTCCATGTATAACTAAAAAAATATATTTTAAAAAAATAAGAAAAGAAAAGAATGAATGGGACAGGATCGAAAGACATCCAGGGGGTAGGAGTTACCCGAGCAGGAAGAGGGTCTTCTCTTCCTGGAGACAAGCTGGATGCCGGGTTGGTGGGGTGCACAGTCATTCATAGGCGGAAGACAGGAAGCAGAGGGAAACTCCTGCCTGGTGGCGTCTGGGTTTTAGCTCATAAGTAGGAAGGAAAGCCATCTCTTGGGAGTGGGTGGGGAAGCGATAACCAGGGGGCTTTGTGGGAAGCAGTGAGGACTGGAAAGGCCACTGAGAGGAATAAAAGAGGGAGCTGCCAATGGAGAGGGAGAATTCCGGGCAGCCCCAAGGGCTGGTGCATTTGAGGCAGAACCAGGGCTGTGGGAAGCCCAAGGAGAGGGTGGACAGGAGGGAAGATGGCAAAACCAGACTTTGTGCTCATTCAGAGAAGACCAGGTGGCCACAGGGCAATAATTCTGAGGGTGACAAGGTCGTGTGTGCCACAGAAGTAGTTTCTAAAGTTACCCAAAAAGAAAGTTTTCAGAAGCTTTATATACCCTCAGATTGATGCTCATGTGAGTAATTCCTGCCATAAAGGAGCCATGAGCAATGGATTATTCACTTTGCTGGTTAGCATGTGAGATCCGAGGTTTGTTTTTTTTTAATATTTATTTATTTATTTTTTAGGTGTAGATGGACAAAACACAATACCTTTATTTTTATGTGGTGCTGAGGATCGAACCCGGGTCCCGCCCGTGCTACGCGAGCACTCTACTGCTGAGCCACAGTTCCAGCCTGAGATCCACGGTTATTAAATATAACTGTCTCAAAGTTCTGTCGTTCCAAGGTCCATTGAGGAACAATGGCTTCTAACTGATGTGGAGCAGGGTCAGAGTAGAATTTCTAGGGAGAAAAACTGACCTGTCCTCCCTTTCCCTCCTGACTGTGTGCCTGCCTCTCAGGGTCCTTCCCAATGCTCAGTAGGGAGAAGGAATCCACCGTCAGTCTTCAATGCCCCACCCTTCCTCTAGCACCTCAGCATGGCTACCCCATGGTGGTTTTGGTCTGCCTTTATTATCTTTTTGCTATACTGAAGACTGAACTCAGGGGTGTTCTACCACTGAGCTACACCCCAGCCCTTTTTATTTGTTTTGTTTTGTTTGTTTTAATTTGGAGATAGGGTCTCACTAAATTGCTGAGGATCTTGCCAGTTTGCCCAGGCTGGCCTCAAATTTGCCATCCCCCTACCTCAGACTGAGTTGCTGAGATGGCAGGCATGTGCCATTGCACCTGGCTCTTATATGGATCTTAAATGTCCCCCAGAGGCCCACGTGACAAAGGCTTAGTCCCCACATTGGTGCTGTGGGTGTAGGCAGAAATTTTAAGGGATGGGGCCTGGGGGGTGGTCTTCTGGTCACTTGGTGTACGGGACCCCAGCTCCTCCTTCTCCCTCTCTCTTTCAAGAAGTACGGGGTGGTTGTGGAGAACAGTAGGGATAGAGATGAAGCCATCTGTAGCAGGGCCAGGTGGACTTGTCACACCACCTCTATCAGAGAAAGGCTGACAAGTTGATAGGTCATTAGTCTCCCTCAGAGGTAAGCCCAGCAGCTGTGGGGCAAGAATAGGCCCTTTTAACCCCTGGGGAACCTCAATGCCATACTATCAATATGATCAGGTGGGCAGTTTGCTCCACCATGTGTTCTAAGATGTATTTCCTCACCGCAGGCCCAAAGCAACAGGGTCGATCATCCAAAATGGTGAACCAAAAGGAACCTTTTCTCTGAAGGTTGATTCGTCTCAGGTATGTGTTACAGTAACGGAAAGCTGACCATTTATACCCACTAGCCTTGCTGCCCTCCAACCACAAGGCCTTCTGCTCATAACCACCATCCTCCTGCCTCTACTCCAGCATGGGAAATCCGATCTTGAGTTTGCCCTGAATCACCCTGGAGCACAGTTCTAACTCCAGGGATGGAGGGGTCAGCATCACAACCCACAGGTACTGGCTTCCACCCTGCAGTGGCTAAACCCCATCTGCACACATCACAGCTTAAGTTACAGAGGTGGAAGGCTCCATTGGCCACTTGAAGTCACATACACACACACCTAAACACAGACTGGGACATTGTTTGGTTGTTTTAAACCTTGAAATGTTGATTGATACCTCATGATATAGAGTAGCCAGAAGTGGGAAATATTTGCTCCCTACCAGGTTGTTAAACAGAATCGTGAATGGAAATGATGGACTCAATTAACCTTTGCCATTTCCACGCAGATACTCAGCATCTGTTCCATTCAGAAGACAAGGATGATCATTCAGGTGAGAGCTTAAGCCCAGAAAATATTTAAGTCTGTTTTGGCCAGGGTTACCTATAAAGGGATTGAGACAAACAGGGGCTCTTTACCACTGAGCCATAATCTCTTTTCTTTTTTTATGTTTTATTTTGAGACAGGATCTCATTAAGCTTCCGAGGGTCTTGTTAAATTGCTGAGGCTGGCCTCAAACTTGTGGTCCTCCTGCTTCAGCCTCCCAAATTGCTAGTATTACTGGTGTATACCACCTGGTCTGGTTATGATATTCTTTTTAAGGAAGCATTAAGCTAGTAGCTGTGGGCCCATCTTGACCTGGGTTGTAGGCCTGCTTCTATCATTTCTAGTCATGTGACCTTGGAGAAGTTATTTAATCTCCCTGACCCCCAACTTCCTCATCTACAAATTGAAGGTGTTCACATTATATATTATTATAAAGATTAATTGTTTGCAGGGAGTGATGACACATTCCTATAATCCCAGTGACTCAGGAGGCTGAGGCAAGAGGATGGTAAATTCAAGGCCAGCCTCAGCAATTTAGCAAGACCGTGACTCAAAATAAAAAAAAAATAATAAATGGTTGGGGATGTAGCTCAGTGGTAAAGCACCCTGAGTTCAATCCCCAGTATGGCCAAAAAAAAAAAAATTTAATGTATGTAAAACACACAATATCTTTACATAATTGGTGCCCAATTTAATGGTTGCTATTGTTTTTTACTCTAGAGAAAATTACTAAGCACAGAATGTGATGCATGTAAGAACTCAATGGGGTGATGTGCTTAAGTCTCAAAAAAATAGAAGTGAAAGATGTCCCATGGAAGAAACCAAAAAACACTTCTAATATTTGAAACAACCAAAAGCCTCTTGTCTTACAGTGACTGTAGATCTTGGGGTTTCCAGGATTTCACCCTGGAAATAATCTCTCTCATTGTTCTGGTATACAAACTTATATTTGAGAGAGTCACCCTGATCTTGGACCAGAAAACAGCATTATAGGTCTATCCATCAAAAAGCCCATCAGTGGATGAATGGAAAAAGCAAGTGCAGTATATAGACACAGTGGAGGAAAAAGCAAGTGCAGTATATAGACACAGTGGAGTATTATTCAACCATAAAGAAGAACAAAGTCATGTCATTTGGAGGAAAAAGGATAGACCTGGAGTTTGTCATGTTAAGTTAAATAAGCAAAAGTTTAAAAGGCAAGTATCACATATTTTCTCTCATCTGTAGAATCTAGAAAGAGAAAGAAGTATGATGTGAAAGCAGAAGGGAGACTACTAGGAAAGGGGAACAGGACAGGGTGGAGCGGATCGGGAGGGTGGACACAACCAAAGTCTGTTACATGCATCTGTGAAATTGTCACAATGAAACCCACTATTGGGTACAGTTAATATGCACAACTAATTATAATTTTTATGTTTAAAAAAGAAGAAGGAGTGGGGTGTGGTGGTGCATGCCTGCAATCCCAGTGGTTTGGGAGCCTGAGGCAAGAGGATCCCAAGTTCAAAGACAGCCTCAGCAACTTAGCAGAGACCCTGTTTTAAAATAAAGAAAGGACTGAAGATGGCTCCTTGGTAAAGAACCCCTGGATTCCATCCCTAGTCCAAAGAGGAGGAGGAGAAGGAGGGCAAACAGCACTGGGAAAACAACTCACCCCTGGCAGATCAGAGACCCACACCTCCTTCCCAGGAGGCTCTTCCTCAACACCTCACCTGAGAGGGCAGCTTGGTTTTCACAGGTGAACTCAAGAAGCATGCGCTGGAGACACCATAAATATCCCACTGTGCCAAGGCAGAGGAGGAAGGGGGGGGCAGGTGGAGGACTCCACCCCCACCTCCAACCCCCCAGCAACCGCCTCTCCTGCTGCGCCTCTGCGATCCACCACAGCAGGAAATGGTTTGGGTTTTTCTGTTATGAATGCAATAGAAGCTCATTTTAGAATATTAAACGATAAAAAATATAGAAACACAGAAGGAAGAAAACACCCATTTTCTTCCAGCCTTCTAACAATTATCAAAACATGATGTTTCCCTTTGTTCTTTTACATAACTGTTTTTTTTGAACCATATACAATCTTGTATTCTCTCTATAAAACTTAACATTATAGCATATGAACAGTCATATCGCATGAGGCAAAGAAGGGTTTGACTTGGAGTCAGAAGAGCTGATCATTAATTCCATCTCTGCCACTTGCTGTATGTCTCACCTTTCCTGAGTCTCAGGTTTACCTGTAACGAAGAGGAGAGAAACATCCATTCTCGGCCACTAGTTTTCTCTGTGGTCCTCTAGACAATAAGCTCCGTGACTGATCCTCTGTTAAATCCATACAGTCTGGCTCAGTGGATTAGAGACGGCCATTCTCTCCATCCACAGGTACAACCTATTTCTCCATTCTCTGGAATCTTGGACTGGGCTTGTGTGATAGCCAGTCTCCAAAATGGTCTCCCATTGATCCTCACTTATTGGTCATTCCTGCCCTGTTTCATAGTCTCCTCTCACCACGGACCAAGGTTGGTTTGTGTGACAAACAGAGAATGGCAGAGGAGACAGTGTATGATGTTTCAGGCTAGCTCATACAGGGCATTCAGGCTTCTTTGTCTCACATCACTCCATCTGGGAAAAGCAGCCGCCATGTTGTGAAGACACTCCAGCAAACTGTGGAGAGGTTTATGTGCAGAAGAGCTGAGGCCTCCTGCCTATAGCCTGCACCAATTAGCCAACTGTATGAGTGAGCCATCTTGGAAATGGGTTCTGTGGTCCTGTAAGTCAAGCCTTCAGATGGGTGCAGCTCTGGCTGACATTTTAACTGCATCTTCTGAGAGTCCCCACACCAGAAATGGTCAGAAAACCTGTTCTGTACTCCCTCATGCACAGAAATGGGAGAGGTAAATGATTATTGTCATCTTAAACCACTAACTCTTGGGATTATTTGTTATGCAACATACTTAATGAATACACCCTATGATTGGCTTTGACCAATAAAATGAAGTAGAAATGATATTCTGGGACTTCCAAGCCCAAGCCTCAAGAGGACTGAAGCTTTTGCTTCCTGGCTCTTACAGCCTAGCCACCATGCTGTTAAAAGCTCAAGCCATCCTGCCAAGTGTGGCAGCACATACCTGTAATCCTAGTGACTCTGGAGGCTGAGACAGGAGGATCACTAGTTCGAAGCCAGCCTCAGCAACTGTGAGGCACTAAGTAACTCAGTGAGACCCCGTCTCAGAATATAATACAAAATAGGGCTGGGGATGTGACTCAGTGGCCAAGTGCCTCTTAGTTCAATCCCCTGTACCCCCCCACAAAAAACTATGTACTATTCTGCATAATTAATCTCCTTCAATGCTAGGCTTAATTCACAATTATACCATGAATATTAATCCATACTTAATATATTGCAGAGCTTTATTGAGTTAACAAATATTTAAGATGTTTTCTTGTCTATGGAAAGTACATTATATTAACACTTCTCTTTTGGTTTAAATTGAACAAGGAATAGTGAACTAGAGTAAAGGTGTTCTTTGGGGACTTTTTCACTTATATTATTCTAAATTATTAAAATTATTAAATACCTACTTCTGACTTCTTTTATGAAAACTTTTCAAGAAAACTTTCATTCTGTATATCCTCACCCTACTCATTTAAACTTGTTTTCTCTTGTGGTTTTTGAATGTTACTGAAATAATAAAGTAGTTCTGGAACAGGAAAAAAAAAAAAATCTCAAGCCACATAGAGAAGTCACAAGGAAAAGACCCGAGGCACCCCAGGTGGAATCCCCAGCTCGCCTCCCAGCCAACAGCTCAAATACCCACCCGGGTGGGCGAGCCACTGTGGAGGCCCAGCTGAGCCATGCCCTAGACACTTGCAGTGGTAGCTAGCATGCCAGGGTGTGGAACACACAGCCCAACTCCTTCAATCCAGAAATGCGGGAGATACTCTAATGGCTGTTGTGTGGAGCCTGTGAGTTGGGGGTGATGTTTTATGCAGCAATGTTTTAACCCTAACATTGGGCGAGCCCCTGGCATGTAATTACCTCTTGAGAAATATCTGGGGAGTAAATGAATGGCGCTTGATGGGGCTCAGCTTCCTCTTCTATAAAAGTGCAGAGGTTGGGCCAACTCATGCCTTCCGTTCTGTGTGTCTCCCTTTCCCTGCTGGGCTGTGTGTGCCCACCTGGCCTGCCAGGGCTCTCACTTTATTCTTGCAGGAAGACTACAGGGTCTGTGGCATCTCTGTCCACCCCTCCCTGCCCCCCACCCCAGCTGGTTCTTCCTTCCATGCTCAAATACCCCAGGCACCTGCCTCCTCGTGAAACGGTCCTGGTGATTTCTATCATGGATCTGTGTAGCTCGTCAGGAAGAGAGCAGCAGAGGACCTCCACCTTACAGGTGGTCCCTGCTCCATTCATTAGAGGAAATTGGGTCCCCAGGACAGATCAATTGCAAGCTACATTTGCCATTTGGCCTTCCTCTGGCCAATCCTGTAGCTGAATACTGGTTGGAAAATGACTGACCTCTTTCCCAGAGTCCAGGACCTGGGCTGTTTCCTGACACAGAGAGGAGGTCTCTGCTTTGTGAAGGAATGCTCAGCCTCTGGTTTATTAGGTCCCTTTATTTGCCACAGAGGCTACACAGTTACTTTCATTAGCAGGCCTCTAGTCACTAGAGGTAGGGGAGATCTCTATCATTCCCATCAAAACAGAAATAAATAAAAAGGAAAGGAGACGTCAAGTAGCTAGCCTAAGGTCACAAAGCAAACCCCAGCTTACTGGTGGAACTGGAATTGCCTCCCTTCTATTTCCAACCCCTCACCCCACCCTCCTACACCTATTTTGCCTCCTAAGTCACACTGAGCAATCCTCGTGTGACCCACTTAAATCATTATTGAGAGCAATTGGTCCTTCCTGATTACAAGTCATCCCCAAACCATCATCATTATTATAATTGGTAAAGCCTCCCTCTCTAGGCTATGAAGGTACCTGTCCCAGACTTAAGAAATCACTCAATTTCTGGAGGTTGGGAGGAACTAGATGTCATTCGTCAATCCAGGCAGGAAATTCTGATTAAGCACATGATGGGCCCTACAAGCCCTGCCAGGTGCTGGAGAAACAGCAGGTTGCAAACCCGGGCTCTGCCACCAGGAGCTTGAGTCTAGCAGGAAATGCCAAAGTCCTTCCTCTGCTTTTGTGCCAATTATGATGGTAACTGTCATAGATCCCCAGTCTAGCTCATGGTGTAGTTTTCATACTATAAAACAAAGGAGAAAAATCCCAGCCTCCACCCTATGCCCCAGACTGATCCAAGGGCCTGCTTGGTCTCATCTCTCGAAGGCCAATAGTCACCTCCAGCTAACATGTCTCAAGCAGAGCTCGGCCCCTGCCTCCCCATCTTGTCAATGGCACCTCTACACATTTGCTCACATCAAGGTGAGTTGCCCCTTCTAGGTCACATCCAACCGGTAACCCATACTGGGCACCTCCAAACCTGTTTCCTTCTGTCTCCAGGGTCACCATCATCTCTCACATGGCCTGTGTTTACTCAATGATTCCTCTTTAAATTGATAATTCCAAACTTTAAATGGACACTGCACCTGCCCAGCAAGCCTATACTTGCTAAGTAAGTTCGTGTCCCCACTCTCTGAGAAAAATGGTGGGTGCTCTTTATGCAGAACCCAGCATCTTCCCTCCCACCTGATGCTCTTGCCTCCCTTTTTCCTGGAAGTGGGGCCCAGAACCCCCCGCCTCCCACATACACTTGTGCTTGCACGCACACACGTCCTCAGCACAAGTCCATACACCTGTGGCCTCTGGACACAACCTCTCTCTTTTCTGTCCTTGATACTAGGGAAGGCCTGGCCCCTCTGACTCCCTGAGAGCCACCTACTGTAGCCACCGCCCTCTTTATCCTGCACACACAGCTTGTTCCTGTTCACTGGCTCACTCCCATTAACATATACTCAACTCTCTTCCCCTGAGAAATTACCTCCTCCTCCTGCTGCCCCATTCTACTGTCCTCGACAGCAAAAGCTCGAAAGAGCCTTCTTCCTGTCCTCTCCAACCTGTTCCAAAGTGGCTTCAGCCAACATCAACACCCTGAACCTGATGCTCTGTCAGATCACGGTGCTCTCTACAGTGCCACACCTCTCAGTCTGTCTTCCTTGATCCTTTCTCAATCCTTTTACAAACACTTGTTCAATAAGAGCCTTGTGGAAGGCGACTGTATTGGTCTGAGCTCCTGCACTGGGCCCCAGCAGACCAGACCCGACCAAAATGGAGTCACTCAGTTAAATGCCACATGATGAAACTGAGAATTTAGGGAAGCTGGTAGATGCCAAGAGAGACCAGTTTTTCTTGCAAACTGGACATTCTGGTCCACCAGAGCCAGCCTAATAAGGAAGTTACAGAAAAAGTAACCTGAAATAACCTGATGTTAACCAATCTTTTTTTTTCCCCATTGTTCTATTTCCTTGTTCTCACCTTACAAAATCTACTATTCAGCTATTGCCCAGGCAACTCTCAATCTATCCATGAAGTGCAAGTAAAAGCCTGTTAAATCTTTAAATTTGCTGTAATTTTGTCTTTCGACTCATCTATTGGCCAAGTCTCAACTCATCCAAGCCTCGTCATCTTGGCCTGGCCTCTGGGATTCTCTCTAGGTGGTGGTGGACAGAGTCCCAGGTCATATATTTCTGGTGGTCTGTTTCATATGCTGCAGATCCAACCTGATCCTCTGGTCCCAGGAAGTATGAGTGGGAACATGAGCAGGACAGGCCATAGGATGTCCACCATAGTCACCAATGTGCCCACGAACCTGTTTTCTTCATCTTGTACACAGGAACAGAGATGGAAAAGGAAAAAAAAATTGAAAACAGGGAGTTAGA